CGTCTATTCCCTAAAATTGATTTTTCCCTTAGTACAACAAGTCATGTTCTCTCTATCAAAAATAAAAGGTTGCATTCAATAATATAAAGCTGGTTTCACACATAAACTACAATACTAACACACAGATAAAGTAGATTTTCCTAAAAATAATAGAAACAAAGAAACCAAGAAAACATCAAGGGAGGATAAAGAAGGAAGTTCACCGCAAGAGTTTGTTCGGGATCTAGGTTCTGATGAATCAAGACAATTCACAATATCAAGTCAATACAAAAACTATCCGGAATATATCGCCCTCCAAGGAGCTAGGCACACTTCTTCTTTTTCCTTTTTTTTTCTTCAGATGGATCAGGTTGGTTTGCAAGAGAGTTTCAAATCCAATACCTCTCTCCCTACACACCAGGCATCTCATTATTAATCCAAAGGCTTGTTTGACAGTGCAGTTTTTGAACCTTAGCTGCCCAATGCATACTCCTTTTTACAAAGTTCTGATATCCTTTGTAACTTCTTTAACAGTCTTATTTTTTCATATTCTTCAATAGTTTCGGTCTAATTAATGAGGTTAAGGAAGTCCCTTAAAAAAGTAAAATGTTTTGTACAAACGGCATTCAACTTCTCATTAATTTTTTTTTAAGATGTGCCCTTTACAAAATATGTGGCAAGTCTTTGGGAGTACACGAGCAATAACTCCTTGCATGGTCTTGCCTTGGTCAATTATTATTGTAGTTGCATGTTTATTATACATCGTTGATAACCATGTCTCAAATAGCCAAACAAATGTTGATTATGTTTCATCTCTAAACAAGTGCACAACCAAAGAGCAATTGACCATCAACCAAGGATTCTCGCTTTGCATGCGCTTCAAATAATTTAAGAGCAATTGAGCATCAAGGCTTCTCTTTATAAGTTTGTTTCTACAATCACGTTACATGAAGTCTAGATTGTTGTTACCACCAGATTCCACTCTAAAGACATTCATGATCTTATTAGTAGGAATCCCTACTTTATCAAAGGTATTGATCATGCTTCTTTTACATTCAGAAATTACGGCCCTAGGGTATACTTGTTCTGAGAAATTTAAGGGGGAGAGAAAAAGAAACTAAGTATAAGGAAATTTTAAATTATACCTCAACATACAAGTCTTGAGATCTACGGCAATCTATAAGAGTCTCACACCACTATTTATGGCAGGGTCCTATAGAATCATTTCCGTAGAGTTTATTTCATTTCTTTTCTGCTACATCCCCAAAATTTAAGATCTAAAAAAAACCCCTAGCATGTACTTTGCGTGAGGAATAAGTAGATAGTATACTCTCGAGGGAGCCTGAGGGAGGAAATAGATAGTATACTCCCAAGGGAGTAGAAAATCTTTTGGGCTACTACTAATCGTAGTAAGTGTACTTCCAAGGGAGTAGAAAATCTTTTGGGCCACTACTACGACTCCTACTACTCCTCCTGGACTTGGTAGCTATTAATTTAATGGATTGTATAGAATGAGATCATTTATTCTTTGTACAAAGAGATCACAATCACTTTTAGCTATTAAATGTAAAATTTAAAAGATGAAAATGTATCACAACATTCGAGAAATTATGTAATGGACTTTGTGTCTAGTCAATGTACTTATGTAATGGACTTTGTGCCAATCGATGGCACATCGTTAATCACTTGGTTTAAAATCTAACAGTAAATGATTATTGTGACCTCCTTGTATCAAAAGTAAATCGTCTCATTATATAAATTTCATTAATTTAATACCCTAGATCGGTCTCTT